GAGGACTAGTTTTGAACTCTTTCTCTCTAAAGGAAATGGATTACATAATAATGAGTGGGCGAAGACAATTTCTAAGGATTAGTTTTGAACTCGTCACAACTTGCTGCATGTATACCAGCTGTGGACCTGTGGTAAGGTGGCTACTAATTTATACCACCTTAGGGGTAAATTTATGGACTATTTTTTAGAGGTCTCTTGCATTACTCTTTAGAAAATATAAGTAGACAGAATTTTTTTGAAGAACGTATCAGATGAGAGGCAAACAGTGGGGTGCATTTGTGTGAGGCCCACATGTATCTCACGTGGGAGTGTGGCAAGCGATTTAGAAAAACATTCTCCTTTTTGTCTATATATATATTTGCACAATTACACTTTTCATAGGAGTTATTCATTTTACTTACTGTTCTACAAGGAATTGTTTTCACTGGGAGTAATGTTTGTAATTGAACTTCAGATACTACAATCGGCACATTAAATTGCAATTTATTAAATTAATCTATCAGTAGATAAATTTTAATTGGTAAACTATTTGAGAGTTTGGCCTATTCTATGTAGGTCCTGCAAGCTTGCGTTGATTTAAAGCTTGGGAACTCTCTACTAGATTTTGAATGTCATTTTAACGAAACCATTGAGAAGAAGATGCGATGAGTGGAGTTGTTTTGTTATGTAGGTAGATATAATTCTAATTACAATCTGTTCATTGAATAGCTGAATGCTATAAACAATGCTTATGATACTAGCCTTATAAATTGAAAATGATACTTTTAAAATCTCTGTCAGATATACAATCAAGATATTGCATGCTAATGAATTAGAGCATGATATTTGTTTGTTATTGAATGCGATGAGCATTTTTTTTTTTTTTTTTTTGTAGTTGAATTTTAATTTGGAGATGAGTGGATGGTTTGGTGATATATATTCTCTGTTTGGTTGTTGAGAAATCAAGAAATGAATATAAGTTGATGTTCAAACTAGTATTTTTAGAATAATTGTTACAAAATCAAAAAAAAAAAAAATTATCAAACTTTTAGAGACCAATTTTAGTTGTCTCAAAAAAAATTTAACAAGCTTTTAGCCACCACTTTTATTTGTCCCAAAAACTAAAACTTTTAACCACCACTTCCCTTTGTCCTAAAAGGCTAAAACTTTTACGGACCACTACCATTTGTTCCAAAAAATTAAAACTTTTAGCCACCAATTTGTATTGTCTCAAAAATTAGTTTCTTTGTCTCCATAACTACCACCATTGGCTTGGACTATAATTAGACTTTTAGAGACAAATTTTGGTTGTCTCAAAATCAGAACTTTTTGCAACCACATATTTTTCTCTCTAAAAGTCTATTTATAGTGACAAATGCAAAATTTTGTCTCTAAAAGTCATTTTTTGACTTTTCCGGACGGGCCATTTGGGACAAATTTCGTGATGGAGGAAATTTGTTTGCTAAAGTTTTTTTCAACAAATATTACACTTTTAGGGACGGAATAAATTTGTCCCTAAAAAGCTGATTTCTTGTAGTGTGTATGAATGTCAGTAGATGGATGTTGTGTCGCTTAATTTGGAATGATGTTGATTTTTCATGTTTGTAAATTCAATTTCTTTGGGTTTTAAATCTTCAAAACACATAAAATCACGTTGTTCCAAATAAATGGTATAGTCTATACTTGTATGTTTCACATATTAAATCGTAGGACTTATTTAATAACCGGAATATAAACATATAAAGTAAATAAAACTCATATCATGGTTTAGTAGAGATCGATCTTTGATCAGGTGAGCGGGGGTGCTCAATTAATGATTATCCCCTCTCATACCTAAGATCCCAAGCCAAGTATCTTTGGTTACAACAAATAGTGGCCTTGGTACGAATCTAAGTGTTTCCTAATTTTTTTTTTAAAAAAAAATATTAGGTAACGACTTAAAATCTAGTGATGTAGTCCATATTTGGTAAAAAAAATTGTATTAAAACAGATTTTTCATAAAAAGTTGTCGAATCTTAACTTTCATTTATGTTTCACATTACATTCATGAGATTAAATCAAAAAGATCAAGGATCCAAACTATTTAACGTGCACCGGTAACCCTACTTTGACCACCGATGAACATGGCGGAAACACCCCCAATAACCTTTGGCCCGTACATCGAGCACCCAAGAATACCATCAAACAGCCCAACAACTGCCTTTGCACCTCACTTCCGCCGAAAGCCCCCAAGAACACTATGGATGTCTTGCTTTCATTCCCCAACTCCGTAGATGCATGTGTACTTCGCTCCTCACTACCGCACATCTATATGAACATCCACAACTGAAAGATCCTCTCAGGCTGCTGACTACCCATACATCAAGCGCCCATACATCGACCACCTGCACAACACCCAAACATGAAATTCACAGAAAACACCCTTATATCACCTAAACAACGACCCAAACAAAAAGTAGATCTAAGAACTACATTTGATAAAAAGACCAAGGAAAAAGAAAAATAAGGTGGGGAAAACTACGAGGGATTCTAGTTTATTGAGGGGAAACATGCATCACATAGAGAGAGGCCAGCCAACCGCCATGGCCATTGGCGACGGCTGGCCAACGATGAGACCCACGTGGGTACGACGGTTTAAAGCTAAGGCTCTTTTGTTTGGGATAATAGAGAGGGGATTGAAATTATTAATTTCTTGGTATTATTAATGGGGTGTTTGTTTTGAGAGATAAAAATGAGACTATTTTTTTTTTTTTTTTTTTGATCGGCAAAGAGAAATCTTTATTGATGAAAGTATACAAGAAGGATACAGGACATCAATAAAGAGGAGCTTGGAACATACTGAAGCTCCAAGCTCCAAAAAGGAAAGAGCCCAACAACAATACAAAAAGGAACAAAAAGATTCAAACAGTCTACAAACCAGCTAAATTGCACAGAACATAAACACCAACTGAGCAAACTCCACCCTCAAAATGCTGATATGAGCTAAAGCACACAGATTCATAGCAAAAAGCAGCACACAGATTGAGCCCAGACTGCGTGGCACAAGGCATTATCATCACAGACGCATAAAAAAACGAAACTGTGCTTGAGCAGAGCAGACTAGCAGATCAGAACAGATACAAACAGACTACCAGATCAGCAACAACCATCTTAATACATCTCCGGATCAAAAAGCACCAGGTATTATTGTAAGATTGAAGGCCCAATTTGCTGATGCTAGTCTGAAAAAGGAATTGGCAGCAATAGGAGTGGAGGATATCATGGTGAGGGAAAGTGGGGGAAGAGATGTAGTAATTACGTTCAAATCCAAGGAGGAGAGGGCATTGAAGCTACCAGCTATTAAGGAGCTGATCAAGGATTGGTGTGAAGATATTACTGAAGGACAAGCTGGACAGGTACTGGAGCAGGAAAGATGTGTATGGTTAAGTTGCTATGGAATCCCATTACATCTGTGGAATAGTTCCAACCTCAGAAAGATAGGTGGGATATGGGGGCAGGTGCTATGTCTTGAAGGTGATCCCTTGGTATTAGTAATCCCCTTAGAAGGGGAATTGGTAAGAATGAGATAGAAATGGTATTAGAAAAATAGTAAGGGGATTATAAAAAAATTTATTTTTTTTATTTTTTATATATTGGGAATTTTTTTTAAAATATTAATGTTTAATTTTTTATATTTTTTATTTGTTTTATTATTTTATATAAAAATAATTTAACAATTCATCACTATTAATCCCCTCACTATTAATAACTTCACTATCAATTTCTTCCATTCTATCTCTGAAAACAAACGGGGACTAATAGATTTTAGGGGATTAGGCGAGTATACATGGTTAGCTTCCTCTCTTTTTTCTTTTTTGTTTCTTTTTTTGTTTTGTTTTTTGTTTTTTGTTTTTTTGTTTTGTTTTTGGTCGGACACATGGTTTAGCTTCAAGCATAAATAAGTGTACATATAAAAATAAAAAAAATAAAAAAGACCTTATAATGGAATTCCAGCCCATCTTGGTCCTTCCTTGAATCATGAATATCAATTAGAGGTTTATTTATACTTCGACTCAATTACATTCAATAATAGCATGTATTTAATGAAAAATTCAGTAATATTAGAGATCAAGAGCTCGAAATTGACTTCAAGAGCATGTATATTGCAGATGCATGACTTAGGGAATGAAAGACAGTTGAAGTGTCAAGTTTCCCATCCTCTAATGACCCTCCATTTTAATCCCCATTGTTGGAGTGCCATTGGTCAAGAATTTGTGTCACTGAGAATGACATGTCAACAAAGGGAAAGGTTTCATTTTAATAATCCATTAATCTAAAATAGGAAAGAATTAATACAATAATTAATTACGTGGTTGGGTGGACAAAACCCTAGGATCAACGTTTTAATAATTTTACTTGACTAAACTACCCAACTTGCTTGCTTTTCTTCACCAAACCATAGGTGTTGTTATCTTTGCTTTGTGTTCATCATTTGAAACTTCAAGTCAAGAGTACTGAACCTTGAATTTTAAGAGTGAGCCTATCAGCCTATGGCCTATGGCCATTTCTAGAATTCTCTTGCACCTTCTACTTCTTGATGTGGTTGCATAACTTGATTCTTTTTTTTTCCTTTTTGGTGGTTTGTATGGCTTTGCTTGTGCTTGTTCTTGTATCAAAATTATATATATGTAATGTATACATACATAGTGAGAGAGAAAAGAAAGGATTCATTTGGTGCAATAATTTTTATTTTCCAACTCAAATTCATGACCTTGGCTGCTGATGATGTGATTGCCATTTTTTTTTTAGTTGGGTGGGAGTTGCAAATTCAGTTGGTGGCAGTTGGTGACTATCATGAACCACTTCAAGATCAAGATATTTTTCATTGAACTCAATCTAAAGAACTGATTTCACAATATATATATATATATATATATTAATTATCAGCAAAAAATAAATAAATAACTAAATAAAAAATTATTAATAAAACTCAGAGTATAAGTTAAGAGATATACATCAATAAAGGAGGTAAGTCCAAAGAGCATCATAAGAACTAGGTTGGTGTACCCCAAAGCAAACCCAATCATATATATATATATATATAGCTCAAATTAAAAGAAAACCCAAATGAGTTTTATCTGATTCTATTTGATCCCTCCATCTATGACAAAAGGATGACCTAGGTTTCACTGTGTCATACTCTGTTGCAATGGATTGGCCTACCTTCTTCAGCAATATACTCTCAAAAAGGTTTCCTTTTACTTGTACATTGGTTTAAGCAGTAACTACTAGAACTGAAATAACAACAAACCAGGACACAAATTTTTGTTTTTTACAAAAAATAAAAAAACAAACCACTCATAGGTACTCACATTCGATGCTCTCATCCGGCATTTTAAGCCAGACTCTTATGCATATCACATATGTATGTATATATAATCTTTTACTAATTGGTTGGCAGAAACTATTAAAGATAATGTTACTATTTATAGATAAATATATATATATATTTGATGGATTTAAGGGAATTTCCACAGATTCTGATCTCCTGTATTTTCAGCTCCAGTGTCATGATCAGTCTCGTCATCATCACCAAGGCGTGGAGGGCTAAGAAGCATCCCTTCAGCCATATTCACAAGAACATTAGGCATATCAAAGATCATATCCTCATCAACAAAGTCATTCTCCCTTTGAGTCTCCGGTCCAGTAGGATTTTCAGTCCTCTCAATTTGAGACCCAGACAGAGCATCCCTAGCAGCCCCAGCAGCAGCGGCTGCACTGGCTGCAGCCACCTGAATGTCACGAGGCGAAGTAGAGGTAGGAACGGGAAAAGAAGAAGCTGAGTTTGGGAAGTTGAGCTCGGCGTCTTGACCCTTAAGAGCCAGTGCAGCCACATCATAGGCCACTGCAGCCATTTCTGGTGTGGGAAATGTTCCGAGCCAAATCCGGTTAGGTGACCTTGGCTCCCGGATTTCGGAAACCCATTTCCCACTACTCCTCCTACGCCTCACTCCTCGATAAATGGGGTGTCGCCCCGATCCTCGAGCAGAAGGGAGGTCAGGATGAGCTGACACATTGCTAGTACTACTGCTACTGCTAGAATGTGACATTTGGATTGTAAAGTAGCAAGTGTTGTTGTTTCTGTTGTTGTTGCATGTAGTTTGGGAGGTTGAGATTTGGAAGCTTGAAGAAGATGAGAGAAGCCATTTATGGGGGATGGATTTGAAGGGTTTGGGGTGCATGCAGATGCAGTGAGAGGTGTAATTGTTGTGAAGTGCAAACCAGTTGTTGATGAACTGCGGTATGTAGGGTTTTGGGTGTAGTCCAGCTTTGTGTTGGAGGACATCTTGGATGGAATGGATAGAGCAGCCTTTTTTGCAGCAAAAACCGCATCTCAACAACAGTGGTGTTTCTTTCTTGTGCATTTTAAATATATATGAACCACTAATAAGTATGTAAATGTGATTTGATATTAATTAATTAATCATATAAAATCGTAAGGATTGAGGATGTTTCTGTTCCATTCATTTCATCCAATAGGCTGCAAGTGAATGTGAATTGTGAGATACATTGGTTAGTTTTTTATTTTTAATCAACAAAAAAGAGCACTATATTGATGATAATTAAAAGCAATGCAAGTGACATCCATCAATAAAGAAGGACGGAGCAAAAAGCATATCAACGGTTATTAACATGGTTGGGTTTATTTTTCGGTATCAATCTAATTGGGATTAGAAAATTTTGCTACGATACATACTCTCTGCATTACCATTTCTTTATTGATATTTTGTCTCAATACTCTATCTACATTAAATTTTATCAATAAAGTTATTTCTGAAAAAAAAAAAAAATTTGAAATTGAAAAAAAAAGGTCAGGAGTTCTACTCCTCTTATTTTCCAATATTTTCACTTTCTACAATTAATAAATCTGCTGTTGGTTTCATCAATAGGGAATTAAATTTCTTTATAGTTTGTTCTCAGCTGTTAATATATTGTGAGCTTATGTAAACCCCTTTAAAACTTATGATATACCAGTTTTTCTATTATTTTAAATGTAAAAAAGATAGATCTATTGCCTTCCATAATATGGATACTACTTTCGCAAAGCCAAGAAAATTAAAAACAAAAACAAAAACAAAAAAAGGACACAAATCACTGCCAAACTGCCAGTTAAAGGCCTTTATGTGCCTTTGCACCATAAAAAAGATTGACATTGATCGATTATCTTTTTCATCTTAACTTTGAGGTAGTTCTGCATCTTCATCATCTTCATCACTCTCTTAAACATCGGACTCATCAATCACTAGCAATAATTAACTTTTATTGAACAAAATCTTATGAAGTATGATTCGCCGTATATTGGATGAATGAAATGCTTATCTAGCAGATATAGTATATAGAAAACTTCCGACATGCCCTCACTGCTCAATGGTATTGTTCAAGGTTGTTAAAATCGGGATCCTACGTTGGATCGTTGGAGGTATTTATAGGATCGGATCGTAGAATCGGATCGAGGATCGTAAGATCGTACTGAAAAAGACAGATTACATAGTAATTTAATTTAAATAAATATTTCTTATAAAGCATACACAAAATGAGCTTATATTCTATTAAAAAGAAGTGAAGATATTGTGAAAAATATAATACTCCATGTAAAATGTACATATAATATTATACAATAGAAAACTCGATGGTAAAAGTATTGTATTTCATCAAAAAAGAAGATGAAGAAGTAGAAGAATTCTACAACAAAATACTTTACAATCTACAATGATGCATAAAAAGTGAAGAAAAAATATTTAACAAAGTTGATATGAAAATAGATTAAGAACTCAAAAGAATAACTTAACTGAATGATAAAGTTTGTCGTTAGCATCCCTGGTGGAGCGGATTCAAGCCACAAAAATAATCTCTCCAAAAATTGAGATAAATTTGTAATCATCTTACCCTCCTTAGACTCCGCTAAAGCTAAGTTTGTTTTTTCGATTATTTAATTTTTTAAAATTACCGCAATATTTGAATGTTTGTTTCCTAGTTTGTTTTTCTTAGTCTATTTGATTCAATACTACTTAATTTTTATTATTTTATTTTGACCACATAAATTGGTATTTAGGCAACAAACATAAGATTTACAATAAAATATGTCATACAATACAAAACAAGACTTGTAAATTGGATCGGATAGGATCGGATTCGGATCGGGATTCCGCGATCCTATAAGATCCCACTACCAGGATCGAAAGATCCTACCTATAAGGAGTTTTTTACACGATCCGGATCGATTGTACTCAAATGGATTGTAAGGTCGTAGGATCGTAAGATCCGGATCGGGATTCTGATAACCATGGTATTGTTGTCGATTAGCGAATGTGAAACTTACACTTACGTACTAATTATCATTATGGATGAAAAGGAAACTAAGAATATGGCTTACAAAATTAGGAGCAGAGCTAGAAGCTTTCAATCTGCTTTTCCATCTCTCCATTGCTCCATGTATGGCTAAAAATGAAGAAACATCATTCTTTGTTTCTATCTAGGTCCATCCATTGGCCGTGACTTTGTATGTCTATCTTCTTTTTCTACAATAAAATTTTCTTTGCCATTCAAAAAACAAAATGGTAAAATCGGTACTATCGTAATCTTTAAAATCGGATTGCCTTGAGTCTTGATCATACCCTAGCCGCCAGCATAAAATCATTGACACTTAAAAATAGAGTGATGCAACATAAAAAAAAATATAATAATAATAATAATAATAGAGTTAATATAAAAAATTTAGGACAATTACAAAAAAAATAAATAAATTAGGATTTGACTCTTTTAACAAATTAAACTCTGGATTTTTAATTTTATTAATTTAAATTCGAAGTTTTTGATTTATTTTCAATCTAAATTATTTGTCTATTTCTGTTAAGTAAAATCAATAGAAAAAAATAATATTTTAGTCATTAAATTTAATAATAAATTTTATTTTAATTTTATGCATTTAATAACTAAAATACCCATTTTCTTTTGATTTTACATAACAAAAACAGACAAATGATTTAAATTGAAAGCAAATCAAAATATTAAGATTTAAATTTATAAAATTAAAACTCAAAATTTATTTTGGTACAAATCTCAAACCTCGAAATTTGTTTGTAATTATTCCAAAAATTTGATAGCATAGTGGGCCTATGACATTAAAATAAGTTGGCTATTAATTGAATAGATGCCACTACCACATCTACGTATCTAAGAACTCAACTCACAAGCTTAAGAGAAGTTTACCCAGTAGTCTGCACATTTTATCGTTTGTGTCATTTTAATTTTATTATTTTAATTAATTAATTTTGATTCTTAGTTTTAGATTTTGCTTCAATTTAATCCAATTAATAACATCATAAGTTTTTGATAGAAAATTTTCATTGAATTGGTTAAGGTTAAGTCACAAATAAATTGATTAAGTTTATAATTTTGTTTCTAAAAATGTGACACATATCACTCAGGTGCACATTTGCCATTAAAAAATACTAACAATTGAGGGAATTGAAGTAATTTGAGATGAAATCAAAAGTTGAGGATCAAAATTGATCTTATTTGAAATTATAAGAACTAAAATTACAAAATGGTGAAAGTGTAGGGACTAACAATGTAATTTTTCCTAAGCTCAAATATTCACAACACAACCGAATGAATCGAATTCAACTATCGTAGATGATGATATGGCTGAGTTTTTGCTTCTAGGTCACAAACAACAAATATTGAAGCCCATAGTTTATCCCACTGTTCTATAGCCTTACAATGTTAGAGAGGAGTGCACAATATATTTCAATAGTGAAAACTGACATGTACTAAAGGACTGCAGCAATATTTTTCAATGGTGAAAAGACAAGGTGTATTATGGACATGTTTATTGGTTCCAGATTGGCACCTTTTAGAGGCACTAATTCCTTAAAAAAATCATCAACGTACAAACACAAAGTTAATGGATGTGAAAAACAACTAAACAAACGAATTACTGTAATTGGCATGAATTTTTTTTATTATCAAAACATTAATCATGGAACTGGAAAGCGAGCGAGCAACACATTCTTAATTTTGGGTCAGACAAAATCACCATTTTAAAAAAATAACAATAAAAAAAAAAAGTTTATAACACATTAAAAAGGCATCCGGAATAGTTGTCAAAAGATTTAATGAAAATAAAATTTTAAAAACATATCTGTAAACAAATATATATATATATATATATATAATCAATGCATGAGACCAGATTATTTTATTTATTTTGATGACGAAATGAAAATTAATGATACATGAATCAACATCATAAAAAATGTCATAACATCCACCACACATTCCAACTAAATTGACACGAGGAGCGCAAATCATATGTTAGCACCTCCACAATCATACAGTTGAAGAGATTCCAACTATGATGAACATAGCTACATCCCTAACATATGCACAATACAACAACCTATATCTAATAAATATGGCTTTCGCTTCTTTTAAGTTGGTAATCTTAATTTGAGAGAATGTTTGAGTTTAGTAAGCATATTTTGGGATTGAATTGATAATATGTCATTCACTTTTTAAAATTTCATTGAATAGAATATTAATGGAAAAAATTAAAATGAAGTTATATATTTGAATCAAATATATATTACAAAAAATTGACGACTATTCTTGAAACGATGTTGATAAATTATTTTTTAAAAATAAATATAATTCAAACATATAGGTACTGATATTCAATCATCTTAATTTTTTACATGAATATTTTACTTAACAAATCTTAAAAAGTAAGTGGTTCTGATCACGGAAATCGATTTCAAAATGGGCCTACTAAGCTCAAACATTCTCTCAAATTGAGATGACAACTTCAAAAAAAGTCAAATCCAGTAAGTATTACTCACTAAACTAATCACAGTAGAAAAATACCAGGAGCCACCGTCATCCAATCATATGCAGGGCTTCAAACGAGTTGTGCCAAATAGAGTTTTACTCTGCTTGAGCTTGGCTCGTTAGCTTATCAAGCTCATTTATTGAGCTCTAACTCGAGCTCAGCTCATTAATATTAATGAAACTCGAGCTTAACTAGACTCGGCTCGATACGATTTTTTTAAATATTATTTATATTATTTAAATAAAAAATAGTTATTATATTATTTAATATATAAATAATGTATTTATACTATTATTTATATATATTTATATATAATAAATAATATATTTATTATATAATTTAAATAAAGATAAACGAGTCGAACTTATTCGAACTCAAGTTCGGCTCGTTTACTAAACGAGCCTAATATTCGAGCTCGAATTCAGCTCGTTAAACGAGCTGGATCAAGCCTATTCGTGAACAGTTCAGTTCATTTGCAGCCCTAGTTATGTATTAGAATAATAAAAATGAATACTCATTCTAAACATTTTTAGCTAAAGGGGGGGAGGGGGGATCTAGTTATGACTTCGTTTGAGAAGTGAGTTGCCTTTTTGGCTTTAGCCTGGTGCTAAAAAGTTCATTTAGGTTGACTTTTTTGATTTTTTTAACTTTCATAAGAGTAAAAAAATTATTATGATTTAGATGTGATATTTTGTCATATT